TGGTTTGAGTCCCAGCTGCTCCATTTTCAATCCAGTTCCACGCTAGTACAACTGGGAAAGCAGTGGAGGGTGGTCCAAATGCTGGGGTCATTGTCACCCATGTGGGAGGCATGGATGGAATTCCAGGCTCCTGGCCTCAACTTAGTCCAGACTTGGCCATTGGCAGCCATCTAGGGAGTAAATGAGTAAATGAAGACTCTCTCTGTAACTCTTTCAAATAAATAAATAAATTTTTCAAAAAAGAGAATGAGGGAAAATGAGGATATTATATGATAGTAAAGCAAACAATCAGAAAATAGCTTGACTGTGCATGTATGTTCCTACAATATAGCTTCAAAAATACATAAAGTAAATACTAGGTATCAGGGTAAGAAATAAGTCAAAAAGTGTGTCTACTCCCAAAAACCAGTAGGTGAAGAAAATATAGGGAAAATAACAGTGATAGGGGCCCAGGGCAGTGGCCTAGAGGCTAAAGTCCTCGCCTTGAAGGTGCCGGGATCCCGTATGGGTGCCGGTTCTAATTCTGGCAGCCCTGCTTCCCATCCAGCTCCCTGCTTGTGGCCTGGGAAAGCAGTAGAGAATGGCCAAAAAACTTGGGACCCTGCACCCGTGTGGGAGACCCAGAGGAAGTTCCTGGCTCCTGGCTTTGGATCAGCACAGCACCAGCCGTTGCGCTCACTTGGGGGGTGAATCATCGGATGGAAGATCTTCCTCCTCTCTATCTGTATGTGACTTTGTAATAAAAATAAGTAAATCTTTAAACAGAAAAGAAAATAACAGTGACAGGATTTATCTTCCACTGCCTTGATAAACAGACTCTGTCTTTTCAGGTAGGAGGACCTGCTTCTGTCAGAACTTGGCAGAGGGCATGCAAAGGTTGAAGGTGCCCTTGTAAGACAGAGGAGAAAATTGGGCTGAATGCAGCCCTTTCTTGAAACCAAACTTTTGTGAAAAAACCCGGGTCCTTTGCTAACAGCATTCGTCCATTCATGGGGAGGTACAGCCCACGTCACTCATTCACCATTTATAGGCTCCGTCTCTTAACTGCTATTAATAGGGTCATTAAATTTCAGCATAAATTTTGGAGGGGAAATATAAACCATAGCAGCCACAGAATCTTTAAGTTTAAAATGTTTACAAATTTAAAAGAATTAACATCCTACAATGTCCTTTCCAGGATGCAGTTGAAGCAAGTGGTAAAAACTACATCCAGAGCTTAGCCTAATGGCTACCCACACTGGTGTTGTTTGAGTTCGGTTCCTGACTGCACTTCCTGCCAGAGTGGACCCTAGTGATAGTGGTGATGGTTCAAGGTGTTGTGTCCCTGCCACCTGTTTAAGAGACCTGCAGCCTCAGCCCTGGACTAGCCATGGCCCTTACGGACATTGGTGATTTGAACCACTAGATGGGATCTCTGCTCATTGTTTGCTCCTCAAAAATGAAAGCCTTAGATGTCTATACTTTTTTTAAAAAAAATAATACCAAGTATTATTGGGCTCTGAAAAAAATGAAGGGGAACTGTGAATTACCTGGAGATGAAAGGCAGTAAAAGCATGTGTGTCAAATGTGGGGAAGCGTGTTCAAGAGGTAATTACACAGTGGTAACCAGACTCAGAAAGAACACAAGCAAATAACTCAGACTTACAAGTTCCAAAAAAGACACAAAGTAAGGCCAAATAAACATCAGAGGGGGAAAGAGGGGGCAGATATGTAAAGCTAGGATCAAAATCAATCAATTCAAGCAAAACTAAATGCACATATTCCTTAGGAAAATGAAGAAAATAGATTAGGTAATCTACTAGCAAGAAGGAGATGAGAAAATGCAAATAAGAGAGGAGAACCCTAAAAAGTTCTATCTAGTATATACGTGCAAAATGCTAAAAGTACCAGACAATGTGGTACAATCACAATTCATAGAGAAACTGAAATGAATCACCATTACATCTTTAAAAAAAGAGAAAAAAAATGGCAGAGCGCCACGTAGTTTTATAGCTATGTTCGACAATACCACCAAGGAAAAGTTAATCAAAATCAGGAAATATTGCTCAGAAAAATACAAAAGAGTAGAAGGCAGTTCATGTAATTTGAGTAGGTTAGTATACTGACTAAAGGCAATCCAGGAAAAGCATAATTCTCTTTTCCTTCCTTTCTTCTTTCTTGGTTTTGGTTATGTGCATGTCCAGTTAGCCCAACATTGTTTGTTGGAAAGATATTCTTTGCTCCACGAGGTTGTCTTTGTTCTTCTAGTAACCATCAGTTGGCTCTTCACATGAATCTATTTCTGGGGTTTTTGTTCTGTTGCATTAATCCATCAGTTTTTTCACAGCTACTCACTGATTAATGTTGCTTTGCAGGAAGTATTGTTTCCCCTTTTAAAAAAGGATTTATTTTATTTTTATTGGAAAGTCACCTACAGAGAGAAGGAGAGACAGGAAAATATCTTCTATTCACTGGTTCATTCCCTAAGTGGCTGCAATGGCTGCAGTTGAGCTGATCTGAAGCCAGGAGCTTCTTCTGGGTCTCCCACACGGGTGCAGGGTCCCAAGGCTTTGGGTCATCCTCTACTGCTTTCCCAGGCCACAAGCAGGGAGCAGGATGGGAAGTAGAGCAGATGGGTTACAAACTGGTGTCTATAGGGGATCCTGGTGATTGTGAGGATTTAGCCACTATGCCAGACCCTTGCAGGAACACTTTTTAAAAATCTATGTATATTTCGATTAAAAATCAGAGTTGCAGGTGAGAAAAAGAGAGACGGAGACATCCTATATGTGCTGGTTTCAATTCACATATGGCTGCAACAGTCAGAGATGGCCAGTCCAAGCCTGGGAGCCAGGACCTTCTTCCGGGTCTTCCACATTGCTCAGGGGCCTAAAGACATGGGCTGCTCTGCTGCTTTCCCAGGCCTTTTCCAGGGAGCTTTATGCAGAAATGGAGCCGCTGTGACATCAGCACCCTTTAGGGATGTAGCCCATGTAAGTGTAGGATTAGTCGCTAAGACACTGAGCCAGCCCCTTGAAAGAAATTTTAAAGGGAGGCAATGTCATAACCCCAACATTGATCTGGACCTTCATATGCTGCTTTTTTGGATACTTTGCCTCTCCATATAAACTTCTGAATCAGTTTGCTAATGTTCACAAGATAAGCTGCTGGGTTTATGAATTGAAAGAAATGACATGCTGAAAACACTTAACCATGTATATGGAATATCTCTCCCTTGAGTATTTCTATGATCTCTTTCCTAGCTTTACTCAAATAGATCTTGTACATTTTTGCTTTGACATATCTAGGTATTTCATTTAGAATGGGGTACAATTGCAACTTGTAGTGTGTTTTTAATATATATATACTTTACTAGTCTACAGGAAAATTATTGACATGCTGACTTTAAACCTTGTATCTTGTTATCTTGCTATAATTGCATATTAGCATCAGAAAATTTTTTCAGTTCTTTTAGACTTTGTAAATATACACTAATGCCTTTGAAACAAGACTGTCTTAATTCTTCCTTCAAAACTGGTCTTACTGCATTAACTAAGAATCCCAGTAAAATGTAGAAACTAGTTGTAAGTGAGGACATTCTTGCTGTGTTACCATCAGCAGTGGGAAAGATTCCAATTACTCACAGTTTAAGGATGATCTCAGATCTGCAGGATTGTTGCAGCCAGGGGCCAGCAGTGTGGCTCACAGCTGAAGAGGCTGCCATCAACGCCAGCATCCATATGAGCGCTGTTCTGAGTCCAGCTGCTCCACTGCTGAGCCAATGTTCTGCTGTTGTGCTGCAGAAGGCAGAAGAAGATGGCTCCAGCGATGACTCACCTGCCACCCATGGGGGAGACCTAAGGAAGACCCAGGCTTCTGCCTTCAGCCTGTCTCAGCTCCAGTCACTGGTCAAATGGGACACAGAGCAGCAGATAAACACCTGTCTCGCCCACTCTGCAACTCTGCCTGTCAATTTTTTTTTCAAGAAAACAGTGATTTTTTTTAATAGTCTTACCTAATTAAAGAAGTTTCCCTATTCCTACTACATTAAAATATTATCAAAACACAGCTGTTATATTTTTCTTAAGTGCTTTTTTCTCTTCTTACTGGTATGACTATGTACTTTATCTTTTTTGACTGATGCGATGGATTATATGGCTTCTGTGAGTACATGCATTTTTATTTATATACTGCAGAGAAAGTGACAACTTTGCTAGGTAGCATATGAATGAACATAGGATAAGCCTGCCACAACAAATCAGCAGCCATATCCAATGAAAAGAATAAAGAATTTCTAAAGTAGTAACGATAAACAGCTGAATCACATTTCTAATAAAATGGCAATTGCACAGGGCTAATACACAAAGTTCATGGAAGGCAATTAAAAGCTGATGCAAAAAAAAAAAAAAAAAGTGCAGGCAGCAGCAGCATTGTGCTGCAAGAGATTGAACCACAGCTTGTGATGTGAACATCCCATATCTGAGTACCAGTTTGAGCCCTGTGGAGTCCCAGTCCTCCTCTGAGCCAGATAAATGCTAATATGCATGAGAAAGCAGGGGAAGATGGGCCTGTTACTGGAGACCCAGCCTCCCAGCTGGGACACCCTAAACCTAAGCCCTGTCATTGCTGACATTGCACAATATATCAGCAGAAGCCCCCCTCTCTCTGTATGGTCTCTCATTACACTAGCTGTCAAGCAAATCAATCTTAAAAACAAAACAACAACAAAAATGAACCAAACTGAAACAAATGCCTATTTCCTCACAGTAACCCTGTTCCATGAACTTTGTGAAGAACTGGCTTTGCAAGGATGTCAACAGTTTCACACCAATAGGAATAATTTTAAAATCCCATCTCCACACACAGTAAGAAAACTTGCACTGCTACATCCATGGTACCCCGAACACCCCTGACACAGTCCCTTAGAAATTCTTCACAGGTAAATACCAGAAAGTCCCCGGGTGCTAACTAACTGCAAGAGATGGAAGGCTAAATAAACACGGCGTCACCCGCGTGCTTTCGGAACTCAGCTTTATCCACAAGTCTGACAGCCTGAACCCCAGTCCACCGCCTCTCCTGCAGCGTCCTGGGCGCAGTGCCTGGGGTCACCCTCACAGCCTGAGCTCCTTCTGGATGTCCCAAAGCGTGTTCGCACTCCTCTTCAGGCGCGCCTCCTCCCCGGGGGTCAGCTTTATCTTCACCACATCCGAGATGCCACTCCCCCCCAGGACACAAGGAACACTGAGGAACACTTCCTTGTCTATCCCGTACAGGCCCTTGATTCTGGTGGAAACCGGATGCGTTCTCCTGAGGTTCTTCAAAATGCTTTCGGTCAGGTCGGCTACAGAGAGGCCAATGGCCCACGAAGTGTAGCCTTTCATTTTGATGATCTCATAGGCGCTGGCCACCACTTCCTTGTGGACATTTTCCCACTGCTCGGGGTCCCGATCCGTCCCTATTTCGGAGTTCAGGTGCTGCAGAGGGACGCCAGCAACATTCACTCCGCTCCACACCGGAACGCTCGAGTCTCCGTGCTCCCCAAGAACCCACCCGTGGCAGCTTTCAGAGTGGATGCCCAGCTTCTGTCCGATCAGGAAACGGAAGCGAGCCGTGTCCAGGTTGCAGCCGCTTCCGATCACGTGGCTGTGGGGAAGCGCGCTCAGCTTCCAGGCCACGTAGGTCAAGATATCCACCGGGTTGGACACAACGATCAGCTTGCAGCTGGGGCTGTGCTGGATAATATTGGAAATCATCAGCTTGAAGATGGCCACGTTGCGCTGCACCAGGTTCAGGCGCGTTTCCCCTCGCTCCTGGCGTGCACCTGCCGTGATAATCACCAGGCTGGAGTTGGCCGTGACCAGGTAGTCTTTGCTGCAGACAATGCTCGGCATTTTCAGGAAGGAGCTGCCATGCTGCAGATCCATGGCCTCCCCCTTCAGCTTGCTTTCGTTGGCATCCACGAGTGCCAGCTCATCACTCAAGCCTTTTAGCAGGATGCTGACTGCACAGGCCATGCCCACTGATCCAGCCCCGATGATGGAGACCTTGCTGTGGCGCACGGGTTTCTCGCAGTGGAAATTTTGCAGCAGTTTGCGCTTCACGGTGGCCACGTTGGACGCGGAGGTGCAGAGCCAGGCGGCCATGAGCCGAGGGCCCTGTGCCTGGCAGGCACACGCGGCCATTGCCTGGCCCAGCCAGCTCGCTCTTGCTGCTGCCGCACCTGCTGGTTGGCTGGCCCGCACCACTCCCATGGCCCAGCTCATGGCTGCTCATCCAAAGGGACGAGTAGTAGGAACCCTGGCTGGCTTGAAGGAAGGCAGTGGTGACCTTTGATGTTGACCGTTGGCTGCCTCCTTTGCTGCGCCTGCGCAGTCCCCGCCCCCAGCCTCTTGCATTTGCTCAGGGACTATCCCCAGCACTCCACAGAGTTTGATCTGGCTGCAGGGACAAGATTAAAGGAGCCTTGTGATAATGCGAAAGGGCATTGCAAATATTGTGGCCTGACCCACCTAGGATAGCTCACTCTGTGTTGATCTTGCCTTGCACACGTGGGAATAATATGCCTTGGTGCTGGTGTTAAAATTTTAGGTTATAGGATTTAATTTTCCAGTGTGTGATTCAGGAATTTTCCATCCATATTTATCAGAAATGCTGATCTGTTAATCTCTATCCCTGGAATGTCTTATTCTGCTTTTGTGTTAGTATAATGCTGGCCACCCATAGGAAATATTTCCTCTTTCTGTCTTCTGAACTAGCATAGTTTCCTTCTTAAAGATCTGGTAGAATTTATCTGTTGACTCATCTGGTTCTGGTGCTCTCTGTGTTGGAAGGTTATTAATATTGGGCCATACTCCTTAAGAGACACAGGCCTGTTCTCTAAATCCTCTTGTGTGAGTTATGACATATTGTATTTATAAAAGAAATGAGCTATTCCATTTAGTGTACGAAATCTCTGTGCTTATCCTTGTTCTTTATATTCCTTGATAATCCTTTCCAATGTCCACTGGATCTGTAGTTATGTACCCTTTTATGAATGTCTTGTTGATATTCATAATGTGTATGGTTTGGTTTTGTTGGCATGGCTAGAGGCTTATTATTTTGTTAATCTTGTAAAGAAACAGGTTTGGATTTACTGATTTTTTTTCTACAAATAGGATTTCATTGAAATGTTCATTAATTGTGCTGTATTTCTTCTCCTATTGGATTTATCTTGCTCTTCTTTTTCTCATTTTCTGAAGTGGAGGCTTACATGGTTGTTTGAAGATATTTCTAAATTTCTCAACTTATGGAGTCTCCTTTCTTTGCACAGTCAGTCAACATCTCAGTATAAATCTCCTGCAAAGCACTATTTTCACAATGTTTGGTATTGGACAATAGTTTGGCTGCCCCCAGTGGACCACAAGTGAATGCTTGACTTCCAGAGTCACCTCTAATGGAGGAAAGAAGTGACCCACTTTTCATGAGCCACCTTCTGAATTTCCCCAAAATTTCTCTAAACTTTTATTTCCCCTGATCTTCTCCATCTAAATAAATGACCATTCCCTCATTCCTACTGCCTATAAATTTTAACTAGAGCCTGAACTTACAGTGACTACAGTATCACCTCAGATCAATTTGACCTATTTGTCACTGTAATATTGTCATGGCTTCCTGTTTTTTGTTTGTTTCTATTCTGTGCCCTCCAAATCTACCCTCTACATTCAGAATGGTGTTTTCAAGATGTGGACCGAAGTCAAACTCTCTTGTGGTTAGACCTCCCAGGCAGGCTTCCCTGTAACATTTATAAAGAACAACACATCTAGCCCTTCTCAAGAATCACTGGTACTGACATGGCCTGATTTCTAGCACTCTCTGTTCCTAACCCACTCACTTCCTTCACTTCTACAAGCCAGAACCTTCTCTTGGCTCCCCCTTTGTTCTGTGAGAAGCAGAGCTGGAGCATTTAAGAGTTGCTTCAAATTGTATATTTAGCTTAATTGTTGCAATACTTTACAAACTGTGTGCCCTCTGGAATCTTCCTCTTTATAGCAAGTTCAGAACATGAGGAAAAGATTAATGAAGGAATAAATAAGGAGTAATGAGCTGTCTGAAATGACCTGTAAACATTGGCCTTTATATGATTCCATAATGTAAATGGTTTTGAGTTGTATTGTGAAAGCACTATGGGTCAGTCTCTCATTAGCTAGTATTTGTGCATGTTTGTGAGTGTGAGTACCTGAGAGCGTGTTTGTTGAAATTAATTAGGGAATAAGTCACAGATGTTTAATATTCTTAAATTCAGACATGCCAGTTAAACAGCAGCTATCAAAGATTCAATTGAACTTGCAGTTCACTTTTAGCTTCCATCAATCTCAGCATGGACAGTGGTGGACTACAAAATGCTTCATGAATTAGTAAAGAGACATCAGCTTTTCCAGCTCTTACTGCTGTGTTTTCTTCATTTTAGGATATGACCATAATAAACAGCAAGGAAATTATTTCCTGCCCAAGATACAGAACAGTTCATTGTCAGGCAGGTGTCTGAGATGGAACAAGGAGGGCTCATTCCCGTAATCCTGATTTCCAGAGCAAACAGTCAAGCTGGTATTCCTGGGGTCCAGAGAGTTTAGGATTCCAGACTGGCCTCCTTTTGCCTCAGCCAGTCATTTGTCCAGGATGAGGCCCCAAGGAACAAATGCTGTAGGAGCCTTATGGATCCATTGGTCAGGATGATGGCAACAGAAATGCAGGGAGGCACAAGAGAGGTTGAATTTTAGAATCTTTACCCCACCCTACTTGAGTTTCAGCTGGGGATAATGCAGAGCTAATATCAAGGAAGGTCCTTTCAGTAGGGTCAGTCTATGTCCAGTCTACAGGATATCATGACTAAGTGTGTTATTCATTTTGTCTAAAGTCTACAGACTTTGGCTGACACAAAAAATAAATACTTCAGATATGGACATGGATCTTGACACTGAATAATTAAATAATAAAAATTAAATGGCTCAAAGATGAGGTATGCATGTGACCACTATGGTCGTCATGATAACTACGCATTCTTCTAATTGCTTCACATATCTTTTGTATTTGTGTTGTCCTAAGACATCTGTGGCTTGGGATATTGTCTGGAGAGTGGTATTAATCAGAACACAACAATGAGGAACACCACTCTTCTCAAGATCACAAGGAACAGTAACCTACGTAGACTACATCCAGAGTCATAAAAACAGCTTGAAAATTTAGAACAGGAAGCACTATTGTGACATGTAGCTTTAAGCCCCTGCTTGCAGTGCTGAAAAGCATTGGCGGTGACTCCATTAGATCCAGCATGCAACTAAAGCATCTGGGAGAGTCAGGGAAAGAGGGTTCAAGTATTTGTTCCCCTGCAATGACATGGGAGACCCAAATGAGGCTCCTGGCTTCTGCCTCCCCAGCCCTGGATGCACAGTAATTTAGAGCATTGAGAAGGCACACAGAAATTTTACATAATTTATTTAATTCTCAATTTCAAAAATTAAAAGCAATACGTTAAAAATCTAAATAGAAAAATACATGTCGGCTTTAATTAGAGAAAATAAAAATAAAGATAAAATAGCAACATTAAAATAACATTGGAGTTGAAGAGAACTCTGAAGAGAAATTACATCTCAGTGGAGTAATTACACCCAAGACTAGTGCTAGAGGCTGGGGGCGGGGACTGCGCAGGCGCAGCAAAGGAGGCAGCCAACGGTCAACATCAAAGGTCACCACTGCCTTCCTTCAAGCCAGCCAGGGTTCCTACTACTCGTCCCTTTGGATGAGCAGCCATGAGCTGGGCCATGGGAGTGGTGCGGGCCAGCCAACCAGCAGGTGCGGCAGCAGCAAGAGCGAGCTGGCTGGGCCAGGCAATGGCCGCGTGTGCCTGCCAGGCACAGGGCCCTCGGCTCATGGCCGCCTGGCTCTGCACCTCCGCGTCCAACGTGGCCACCGTGAAGCGCAAACTGCTGCAAAATTTCCACTGCGAGAAACCCGTGCGCCACAGCAAGGTCTCCATCATCGGGGCTGGATCAGTGGGCATGGCCTGTGCAGTCAGCATCCTGCTAAAAGGCTTGAGTGATGAGCTGGCACTCGTGGATGCCAACGAAAGCAAGCTGAAGGGGGAGGCCATGGATCTGCAGCATGGCAGCTCCTTCCTGAAAATGCCGAGCATTGTCTGCAGCAAAGACTACCTGGTCACGGCCAACTCCAGCCTGGTGATTATCACGGCAGGTGCACGCCAGGAGCGAGGGGAAACGCGCCTGAACCTGGTGCAGCGCAACGTGGCCATCTTCAAGCTGATGATTTCCAATATTATCCAGCACAGCCCCAGCTGCAAGCTGATCGTTGTGTCCAACCCGGTGGATATCTTGACCTACGTGGCCTGGAAGCTGAGCGCGCTTCCCCACAGCCACGTGATCGGAAGCGGCTGCAACCTGGACACGGCTCGCTTCCGTTTCCTGATCGGACAGAAGCTGGGCATCCACTCTGAAAGCTGCCACGGGTGGGTTCTTGGGGAGCACGGAGACTCGAGCGTTCCGGTGTGGAGCGGAGTGAATGTTGCTGGCGTCCCTCTGCAGCACCTGAACTCCGAAATAGGGACGGATCGGGACCCCGAGCAGTGGGAAAATGTCCACAAGGAAGTGGTGGCCAGCGCCTATGAGATCATCAAAATGAAAGGCTACACTTCGTGGGCCATTGGCCTCTCTGTAGCCGACCTGACCGAAAGCATTTTGAAGAACCTCAGGAGAACGCATCCGGTTTCCACCAGAATCAAGGGCCTGTACGGGATAGACAAGGAAGTGTTCCTCAGTGTTCCTTGTGTCCTGGGGGGGAGTGGCATCTCGGATGTGGTGAAGATAAAGCTGACCCCCGGGGAGGAGGCGCGCCTGAAGAGGAGTGCGAACACGCTTTGGGACATCCAGAAGGAGCTCAGGCTGTGAGGGTGACCCCAGGCACTGCGCCCAGGACGCTGCAGGAGAGGCGGTGGACTGGGGTTCAGGCTGTCAGACTTGTGGATAAAGCTGAGTTCCGAAAGCACGCGGGTGACGCCGTGTTTATTTAGCCTTCCATCTCTTGCAGTTAGTTAGCACCCGGGGACTTTCTGGTATTTACCTGTGAAGAATTTCTAAGGGACTGTGTCAGGGGTGTTCGGGGTACCATGGATGTAGCAGTGCAAGTTTTCTTACTGTGTGTGGAGATGGGATTTTAAAATTATTCCTATTGGTGTGAAACTGTTGACATCCTTGCAAAGCCAGTTCTTCACAAA